AGCAGATACGAATATTCTAAGTGGTTCAGTTTAAGTGCATTTAATCAAGTCATCTTGGATCAGATTAGACAAAAGTAACAATTTACTCAAGCAACTTTGAATGCTTTAGGCAAGAACTCTTTCTTAGCATAATAGTTTATTTTCTTTCGACTTAATGTAATTTATATTTAAACATAGAGTTCTTCCTTTGAACCCTTATTACAAAGATAAAGCCCACAGGAAACATGCACTCAAGGAATTTTCTTTCTTGTGAACATTTTTAAACTCTGCATTTGGGTGTATAAAGTTTAAGATCTTTATATGTATTATAAAATAGCAGATATTTTATATTTTTGGATAGTTTAAGGATAGTCGTTTGGGTATAGTAGAAGTTTTTAAACTTTTGATCTGTTGAACTGTTTGACAGATGTGTGTGTGTGTGTGTGAAATTATCAGTAATCAGTGATCTTGATTTTTCATTCTTTTCCAAGATTTTATTAATGTGTCAAATCACTACTAACTGGTAAAATATCAGACTTCCTTATGAAAACCTGAAATTATATTCAAAATAATTTTTGTGCCTTAATTCTTTTTCAGAAACATACAGCGTTTGCTACTTTCCCTAATGAAAAAGCAGCTGTAAAGGTGGGACTTTTTCTTTACTATCAAAGTTAACAATTATCCAGTCTTGGTTCAAAAATAACACATAAACTATAGTTTTAAAAAGCAAAAGGGTTTGCATTTCAAGATTTGGCTCCACAGGCTACCTTTGACTGTCAGTTGGCAGATCTCACCCAGAGGTTAGGTATTGGGATCTAAGAACAGTAGATTAACTATGTGCTGGATTTAATCAGATTTTAATTTTGCTAAGTGATAGGAAGCCAGTAAGAAAGGCTGGGCAGCGTGACATTAGAAATGGGTAAGAAATAGCCAAAGAAGTGGTAACAGCATTAACGAAGGACATGTGTGGATGCAGATGGTCTCTAACAAACCACTGTTGGTGCAGTTATCCAATTTCTTATTCTTCTCTTCCAACTGAAGGCACTGACAAGACTCCACCAGCTGAAACTTCTAGGTCACACTTTAGTTGTTGAATTTGCAAAAGAGCAAGATGAAGTCCATTCCCCATGTCCCCCTTCAGGCACAGACAAAAAGAAAAGGTGCGTAGACAGCTGGGTTTTCCTCACATTGATACGTTTCTCTGATTGAATGTAGTACATTAAAGCAATGTATTTTTGTTTCTAGTCATGCATTAGGAGTTGATTTAATATTAGGAATTAACGTGAAGTGGGAAGAGAGTACCGTTAACAACATTCACCTTTAAGTGGAGGGAAGGTAATTAGCATAAAGTCTGTTGTATTACAGACCGTGGGTGTCATGCATAGGTATGGCTTTTGCAATCGAAGACTAGTATTTGCTTTCTAGTTATAGCTCTTTGTAAGTTATATAATCTTTACAAATAAGCTTTACACCAGTGGTTCTCAAAGACTAGTAGTCCTTGGACCAGCTGCTTCCTCTAGGATCTTGACTGGCATACAGGTTTTTGGGCCTTAACCCGGTCTGCTAAGTTAGAAATTGGGGGAGGAGAGCAATGCAGTTATAGAAATTGGAGCATCACTGTTGTACACCATGTAAATTTCAGGGGTTTTCAGTCTTCAGTGAGATTTACCACAACGTCTTCCTAGGGTTTCAGTGAAGATTAAATGAAATGTGGCATGTCATGGACAGTATCTGAACATTTTATTTATTATGGAACAGTTTTCATAATGCCATGTGTGAAAAGATAATTTTCTTTCTGTATGTACTTTTTCACTCTATTTCTAAAGTTAAGATCAACTTTGATTCTGTGTGTCCTAGGTCTGATGAGCCTGTGGAAGATGATAAAGAAAAGAAAGAACTTGGTTGTTTGACTATAGAAAATGGAATTGCACCAAACCATGGGTTAGTGCTTTTTCTTTGTATTTTGTTGTTCTCTGTGTGTGTGTGTGTGTGTTTTGTAAATCAGATAATTTATTCAAAAGGGATATTTGGTCATGTCTATTTTTAGTCTGTCGATTAAACATTTTGAGCTGTAAAAACTGGTCACTGAATTTGGTTCCATTAGAATGTTCAGAGCTACGAGATAAGGTCTGATAAGAAAAGTCTCATTTTCCTGTAATGCAGCCAGAAGGCAGCTTTCTTCCTAAATGGGTTTGTTTGGGTCTATTAGGCCCCAGCAACCCTAGACTCCTGAATTATTGGATCGGTTCTTTTTGTTACCAGATTATCTAAAACCAGTTATTGATATGAAACTCAGTGGAACACAATGAGCATTTTAAATATTTTTTCTAGGCTGACGTTTCCTCTGGATTCCTGCCTCAAGTACATGTACCCCCCGCCGTCCAGCACAATCCTCGCCAACATAGTAAACGCCCTGGCAAGTGTGCCCAAGTTCTATGTCCAGGTGCGTAGAGTAAAACCAGCTTTCCCCACAGGAAATGCATGAGGAGCCTGGCGTTTTATTTTCCATGCCAGTTCTCAGAGTTTTCCACATAGTACTAATGAGACTAATTCCGCCAGGCAGTGATATTACAGTAGCTTGCAGATGTCATAATCAGCGCAGTCTGCTGTAACCATGCCACAGAGTAGGCGGCTTAAAAACAGAAAATGATTTCTCACGTCTGAAAGTTCGAGATCAGGGTGCCAGCGAGGTGGGGTTCTGGTGAGGGCCCTCTTCAGGTGGCAGATGGCCTGGCATATGACCTAATTACTTCCCAAAGCCCCATCCCTTCCCTCCACCTCCTAATACCTGCACATTGGGGGTCAGGATTCAGCATGTGAATTGGGGGGTGGGGTGCGTCACAGACATTCTGTCCATTTCAAACGGTAATGAAATATTACTGCCTCCACGTACAGGCTTTTATAAACTATGGCATAAGCAGCCCATTATGTTTAGTATTAATACTAATAAACACAAGGTAATTTGGGAAATGCAATTTCTGGTAATTCTTGGCTACGTTAGCATACACCTTTAAATAGAGATTCTTTTTTTTTTTTAAATATATTTTATTGATTTTTTTACAGAGAGGAAGGATAGAGAGTTAGAAACATCGATGAGAGAGAAACATCGATCAGCTGCCTCCTGCACACCCCCTACTGGGGATGTGCCCGCAACCAAGGTACATGCCCTTGACCAGAATCAAACCTGGGACCCTTCAGTCCGCAGGCCGACGCTCTATCCACTGAGCCAAACCGGTTAGGGCTAGAGATTCTTTCTTAACGGAAAGGACATAGTTGACTCCTTGGCAAAGGTTTGAAAGTATTGGTAGTAATAGGATACTTTTTGAAGTACAGAATGTAGATAATGTTGATTTTGTTATTTTCTCTGTTTCCTAATTTTACAACAATCAAGGGAGAAATAGCATGTCAGAAGGTTTTGTATTGTAATAATGAGAATAACGTTTGCAGAACTGACAAAAATTTAGGAAGGCTAACCTGAGATATACCAGGACTTGTTCCAGCCTGTCCTGGGGTCATGAAGGTGAGAGGTCTGCCGGCCTCTGCACCACATTCATCAGTAGTGTCATCGCAGAGTTTTTAAGTACATAAAACGTGAGCTGATCACCATTTTACTAAGCAGTTCTAAATGCTTTACCATTTAAGGTGCTTCATCTTATGAATAAAATGAACTTGCCAACACCTTTTGGACCAATCACTGCACGACCTCCCATGGTAAGAAAGCTCTTAGAATTTTCAAGATTCAACAATGCTCCTGCAGGGGTGGGATTATTGAGACTAAATGCTACAGATGCCCTTGGCCTCTCCTGTGCCCTGAAACTAAGGAGCAGGTACAGAGTCACTGTGATGGAGATAAGGATCATGTGGAGAATGCAAAGCTGTTAGCCCTTCGATCCAGAGCAGCCTGCCCCGTAGGATAATTACCTGGAGCCGACTTCCTTATCTCACCCCCTGTGGCATATAGAGCTTTCTTTGCAGAAGAAAGGTTGCTAATACTTTCATTAGAGTTTGCTATGCACATTTATCAGGAATTCAGGTAACAGGCTTTGTATGCTGTGGAATTATTCTGGTTGTTATTTTGCCACAGTCCTTTTTCAATAACCTCAATGAGAAATTATTTTCAGTGCTGACATTTAAGTAGAAAATTTTCCCGCCACCGCAGTGCCTGGCTCAGTGCAAGGATATTAAGATTATGCCAACTGCAGTTAACAAATAAACTCAAGTCTTAGTCACTTGATGCAATATAAGCTACTTCTTGCTCATGTCAAGTTCATTCCAAAAATAGTGCAGCATGATGCTCTGCCCTACTGAGTCATTCAACAGACCTCGGTCCCCACTGCGCGTGTTCCCAGGTTGGTGAGGGCTTTGCCGTGCAGCCTGCCAAGCAAGAAGGAAGAGAATTTCATGTGTGGAAGGTTTTCATGCCAACCCTTCATTGGCCAAAACAGTTTCCTGGTGAACTCTAACTGCCAGGGGAGTTTGGAAATACTTGGTTACTTTAGCATACACCTTTAGGTAGAGATTCTTAAAGGTGTATGCCAGGTGCCCAGGAAGAAGTATGTGTTTGCTCAGCTCGCCATCTGCCACGCAGGGGTCCCTCTGTGTGTGGAGTGTGTCAGAATATCATGAGCTACAGAGAGATGAGAGTCATGCATCGAATGGAGTGGTTTATGTGTTCTGGAAACACCACTGGTTTTGTTATTGTTGTTTAGTATGAAGACTATGTGCCATTACACGCCCCTCTCCCACCTGTGTCTCCTCGGCCCCCGGAGGAACCGCCGTTGCCGGACGAGGACGAGGACTTATCTAGTAAAGAGTCCGAATATGAAAGCAGCGATGAGGAAGACCGACAGAGGTCCGTGACGTCATATCATGCTTGTTTAGATTCGAAGAGACACATTCCATGAGAGGAGGTTCTCTTGCTCTTCTGAATTTTACTGTAATTCTTGGTAACTTGGGGACATTAGAATTTGTTTATCCCCAGCACCAACCCCTCGAGCATATAGTAGTTATACACTATTTTTTTAGTCTCACCCAAGGACATGTTCATTGATTTTAAAAAATTTTTTTTTTAGAGAGAAGAAGGGGCAGGGGGATGGAGGGAGGAAGGGAGGGAGGGAGAGAGAGAGAGAGAGAGAGAGAGAGAGAGAGAGAGAGAAACATTGATGTGAGAGAGAAACATCGATCAGTTAGTTGCCTCCTGTACTCGCCCCAGCCAGGAATCGAACTGGCAACCTTTTGGTGTACAGACATAATTTTTGCCTTTCCCTTCTCCAAGGCAGAATGGCCAAACTAATGGAATTGGCAAATCTTCAGCCCAAAAGACCAAAAGCAACAAGACAGCGCCATGTGAGAAAAAGGCGGAAAATAAAGGACATGCTGACCACACCTGCACCCGTCTCTCACAGGTAGTTCTGTTTTGGATTATGGAACAAGGGCTCTGTAGGTGCTAGTCTGCTTGTGGAACTCACATTTTTTAAAAATTGTTGTGGCAGAGATGTCTGTTTGCCATGGAGTTCTATGTATTTCAATATCTTAATCAGATTAAATTACTCTTAATTGCAATTTTAATTTCATGGAACTTTTCTACTATGTCAAATTCCCTTGAGCTCATAACTTCATAAATTGAGAAAGGCGTTTGTTAAAATGATCTTTTTCCCATTTTTAATTAATAGTCCTCACGTACTGTCCCTGTCGCTTGCTGTGTGACTATGCGATCTGTCTCAACTAGGACCTTAACAGGACTTACAGCAGAACATGTGTCAGGGTTTACCGAAGTAGTTAATGGAAGTTTTACTTTGTGAAATGCCTGTAGTGGTGCGTGCTTTATCAGTGTTAGCTTTTTAAAAGTACAGTAAACACAAAATAGTGTTTTCCCGGGGACATTCTTTATGGTTGCAAAGTAACGCTGTGATTGTGAACTGCAGTGTACACCCGGTGCTGTCCCCGTCGGATGTATTCGATCAACCACAGCCGGTCGGGAATAAAAAGATTGAGTTCCATATATCCACCGACATGCCGGCTGCATTTAAGAAAGAATTAGAAAAGGAAGATGATTTTGAAGAACAAAATCCTGGTAAGCACGTTCTAGTTCTTTTTTTTTTTCTATTCCATATAAAGGAATGCTCTTTATTTTTTTATTGCATTTACTGGGGAGCCATTGGTTAATACAATTATATAGGTTTCAGGGGCACAGTTCTATAATATATCATCTGTATATGGTTCACCATCCCAGGTCAGGTCTCTTTCCATACATGTGTCCCTCCTTTACTCTCTCCTACCTCCCCCCATCTCTGTTTCCCTCTGGTAATCACCATACTGTTGTCTGTCTATGAGTTAATTTCTTTTTGTATTTTTTAAAATTCTTTCACCTTCTTAAAGGAATTTAAAGTAAATGTTCTTTATTTTATTGTCTGTCTATGAGTTAATTTCTTTTTGTATTTTTTTAAATTCTTTCACCTTTTTAAAGGAATTTAAAGTAAATGTTCTTTATTTTGTTTTCTTTATTGATTAAGGTATTCCATATGTGTCCTTATCCCCCCCATTACCCCTCTGACCCTCCCACTCATGCCCTCACCCCCCTGTTGTCTGTGTCCATTGGTTAGGCTCTGATCAATGCTTCTCTGTCTCTGGATCTGTTTTTGTTCATCAGTTTATGTTGTTCATTATATTCCACAAATGAGTGAGATCATGTGATATTTATCTTTCTCTGACTGCATGGGATACTGTCCAGTGTCACCTTTTTTATATAATCAGCACTGGTGCTGCCGACGGGAATGTCACATTGCCTGTTGCGAGTAATGGACTGCAGGGTGCACGGGAGTCTGGCTTGTACTGATGTCTGCACTGGAAATGTGCTAGAAGGGTTCTTACGCTGACTTATTTTTTCGTGGCTCGTGAAGTGTGAGGTGCGGTGGTTCTGTTGGTATAATCGCAGTTGGTTAGGAAACAGCAGTGTGACCATCTTGTGCGTAGATGCCTGCAGGCGCCAGTTCTCTTAGTACAGGTTTCTGTGCCTTATGAAGACCCTGCGTACTCCTGCAAACCCTGAAATACTTACTATTTGAACCTTGACAAGCAGACTTTGCCTGCCTGTTCTAAAGTCCAAGAAAAACACCAGAGGGCTTAGTGCCAAAGACGTCCTGACAATTAAAAGTGGAAAACAGAACGCCTTGAAAGGAGGGATTCTTAATGGCTCCTGTTGACCTTAACCCTTAGATTTACCTGCTGCCCAAGGTGATGCGTCCACTGTAGGATTTGGAAAGCTCTTCCCCAAACCTAACCCGAGCGTCGCCGAGGAGAGTAAGGAAGACTCTGACGAGACGCCGTCCGAGTGCATCTCCAGGCGGGAGCTGGAGAAGGGCCGGGTCTCTCGAGAAGGTAATTCCAGGACAGGGACCAGCCTTGCTCCCTCTGAGGCTTTAACATTGATGTAAAATATCTTAACTTTACTTCCTTGTTTTGTTTTTAAATAAGAAATGGAAACGCTTTCGGTTTTCAGAAGTTATGAACCTGGTGAACCAAACTGTAGGATTTATGTAAAGAATTTAGCTAAACATGTTCAAGAAAAGGTAAGTCAAATTTTGTAAATAAAGTTTATTATTTTACTATTCATTTTTTTTGGCTGGACTTCCTTACTTGCTTTTTTTTTTTTTTCCTTTTTTTTTGGCTGGACTTCCTTCTTTTTTTTTTTTTTTTTTTTCTTATTGAAATTCTAGGACCTTAAATTTATTTTTGGAAGATATGTTGACTTTTCATCAGAAACACAACGGATAATGTAAGTGGCCGTCATATTCTCAGTTTTCTTTTCACCTGGTAGGAAGTAACCCTGGTTCATCCCAGCGCTTGTCCTTTAGTGAGAAGCGGAGTCGGCAGGCTTTGCAGATGGGCAGGTTGTAAACATTCAGTGGTTTCACCTCAGTGCAGGCCACGTGGTCCCGGTTGCAGCAGCTCAGGGCTGCATTCGGAGCATGAAAGCGGCCACAAACAATACATAAAACTATTGGTGGCCGAGTTCTAGTAAAATGTACTTAGAGAAACAGCCTCATCAGAAACGCGGGTCCCAAAGCAGAGGGTCACCTGCATAGGAACCACCTGGGGGAGTCTGGGTTTCCAGAGGGAGGCGGGGCCTGTGGGTTTGCATTCCTAGGAGCTCAGGGATGGTGCCCAGCTGCTGGTGCCCAGTCCCCCTGGAAACCACTGTCGGTGCCTCGCCCGGTGGCCCACAGCGTCAGGCCGTTTCTCACTCTCCCCCTGGCAGTCACTTCTCTGAACTGGACTGAGTCAGGCAAGGCTCCCATGAGAGCATCTCGGAGGGATATGCTTTGTAAATGACATAAAAGCTAATGTTTGCAGTTAGAATTTTATTCTTTGAAATTCCATAATAGTTGGCTCCTAAGTACGTAAGACTGTTGTGTTGGCCATGTAAACTAGAAGCAGAAGAGGTGAGGAGAGAGACTTCTCAACTAGTTAATTTTGTTTTAAACTTCTTGAGCAACCAGCACTTTTCAAGTCTGGTCTGGCCTTGTGTACCTTTTTAGATAGGTATGCACAGGTCTTAACATTCTCCATTATATGCATTAGTCCCCGATGCCTTTTCTTATTAGAGTATCAGAAGGTTTTCTTGCTGGTCCTTTTTCTTGTTGCTGCCTTTAAATCATGATGGTAAGAAACGTAAATAAGTAAATACTTTATGTACATCGATATGTACAAATGTGTGTATACATTCTTTCCTTCTATTTCCAGGATTGCCTGCAATTAGAGTTTCATGGGGAAAATAATTCTATATGGAGAAAGTTGTACACAACAAAATGACAGATTAATAATTGTTCCCCATGGGACTTAGTCATGTGAATTTTAAAATCTCACTGCATTTTTTTATGCTTTATATGATTTTCCTAGTCCTATAGACTCTCTAAATGGCAAGCAGTACTTTAGTTACAAGTTATAATCTGCTTTTTCTAAGGAGTCTCCAATATAGCTTTGTGTCCAAAATGTTAAAAAAAATACACTACTGAAGAGTGGAACTCTACACTAGGAATAACACATCTGCTTCGTATTCCAAGCTCTGGCTTGAGCTCAGTATAACAACAGTGAAGAAACCACAGTCTCCGTGGGCATCCGTGGTTTTGACTCGGTGATTAGTAACATCTCTTCCCGCTCTGAAATCCTGTTCTTTTTCTGGGGTCATGATCAGCCCTTCTGTTCTTGGTCATATAGTTGTTTTTGTCTCGTGAGTAATAGTATTGAATTGGTTGCATGGAATTTTTAAAAAATAGAGATACGACGTAACAACTTAAGAAATGTGCTTCATAATTGCTAGTAAGATAATTTTAAAATCACATAAATACATTTAAGATAGCTAAAAAATATATGCAAGTGCATCCTCAAACTTCTATTGTCTACTCATAGAATCAATTTTAGAACTGACTACAAAATACAGTGTTAGGAAGCCTGAGGAATCGATGTGCTAATGAGGTTGTATAGTTGTTTTCGCACTGAAATAGCAACATTTCCATTCATTTGGTCACCATGGTTCTTCCGACCTCCAGGTTTGACATCCGCCTGATGAAGGAGGGCCGCATGAAAGGACAGGCCTTCATTGGGCTCCCGAACGAGAAAGCAGCAGCAAAGGCCTTGAAGGAAGCTAACGGATATGTTCTTTTTGGAAAACCTATGGTGGTTGTATCCTTCTAACCTGTCTGTTCCAAACACTAGTTTTTAGAAGAGTATAGTTGAAACTAATTTTTATCAACCTTTAGAAGACTTAACAACTGACATCCTAACTGGAGGTACTCAATCACAGACGTACTTAGCTGAGAGAGATGAGTGTTGTTTAGATGATTATTGGAAATGAAGGAACCTCAGCAGCAGCATGAGGTTATTAAAATGTAGCCAAGGCTAAACCTATCTCTTACACAGCCCAACAGTGTGTGTGCATGCTGAGCCTGAGCCTGCAGTCCCCCGAAATTCCTTTAGGGTCATTAAAGAGATACAGTTCATTGTAGTTTTATCTTCTATTTTATCGTACTGTAATTCATATTTGCATTTAAGAATTTTAATAAACAGAATATACCATTGATTAATCACCCCGCTTTTAGTAGTGAATGTAGTTTGCAAGTTATTAGTGAGCGGGATAGATGAAGGTCTAGGTGTGGAAGATACTGACTGGAGAGAAAAGGTACATTTTTCTCCCCCAAATCGTGGACAGCAGGTAGATAAAACATATTTAACAGATGTCTGAGAGTATAAAAATAAATGTAAAAGATAAGTTCAAAAACTGTGCTTCTACCCTGAATTAGAAAGTTCTTGATAATTAGAAAAGGTTGCTTCCATGTTTGTAAAGGAAACCTTAATCTTTAAATATTAGCAATTCGCTCGATCTGCTAGACCAAAACAAGATTCTAAAGAAGGAAAAAGAAAGTGATACAAATTGGTAAAGGTAAGTGTGGGTATGAATAGGTGAAAGGAGAGACTTTCTGAGATTCTGCCACAAACTCTTATGGAGGAGGGTCCTGTGGTTTCCCCGCCCGTCACCCCTGCCTACCACTCGGAGCTGGTAGAGCAGTACCTCCAGTGAAAGCCCTTAGCTCCATGCATCCATCTGTCCATCTCTGTCTCTGTCTAACTGTGCCGTTAATTCTCATTCAACTTCAAAGTGATAACTGCAGAATAAAGCCTATTTGTATATAAAAGTCATACTGGGAAAATGGGTTTTCTAAGGGGAGTGTGTCAGATTGCCAGAGTTTCTGTCCAGGAGGTCTGGGGTGGGGACCTTGGAAACCAGGAAGCCAGCTCTCCTCCCCGTCTTGCCCCCCAGTTTTTCTGTGACGGGGTGTGTGGGCCAAGCCAGGACAAATCAGTCATCCTTGGTGGGCCTGAGCATTTGCATTATAATTACTAACTGAACACTTCAGAGAAATATATACATGTCTTTTGTGGAATGAAATCTTTGTTTTTCAAATATGTAATTCTAATGCACACTCAAGTAATTTTATTATTAAAAATGGTAGAATTACATTTCCAACTTTAAAGTTGTGTTACATTGATGAAAGAAAAATGAATGGAAATACATCCTTTTTTTATTTTATTTAAAATATTTCTGCCTTTGTACACTGGAAGAAGATGAAGTAAATGGGTCAAAATTACTGTTGTTAAGCTGAAAAATTATTTAACTTAGAGAAAATTTTGCTTCATGTTTATTCCTTTTATGGGATACCTTAAATATTTGAATTTTGTCTTAAAACATCTATAGTGGTGTAGTCAGAAGTCCTACAAATGCCTTAGTGGAACAGTTAACAAGAAATATATAGTGTGTGTTTTTAAAAAATCATTTATATGTAAACTTCATGTGGAAATGAGAAGAAATTAAACTGCATCCCGCTGTTCTTCTTTAGAAGCATTCCTGCGTAAATACCGCTGTAATACTGTCATGCAAAGCGTATCCTTTCTCGTATCCTTTTGGGGGCAGTACTTTTGTTTTTTGTTTTTCTTAGAAATGTTTTGTCCCTCCCACCCATTGGTCCAGAATAAGCAATACTTTTTGCAACCTAAAAGAAATATTTCTAAATATCAGTGTTGATTGAACAAATCTTATATGGGTTTGTTTAGATGTGCTGCTAAATTTTCTAGACTTTCCTTTAGGTTACGTAATTTTTTCAGGGAAAGTTAGTGAATCAGGTCAATTTATTTACTTGTAGAATGTATGCATTTACTTTAATACAGAATTTAGCCCTTTTTCTTCATTTATGTAATTTCTAGGCCAAATTCAGTAACGTGTTCTGTTTTATGACATACTAGAGGCCTGGTGCACGGATTCGTGCACCGGTGGGGGGGGGGCCCTCGGCCTGGCCTGCGGGGATCAGGCCAAAACTGGCTCTCCAACATCCCCCGAGGGGTCCCAGATTTCGAGAGGGCGGTTCTTGGATGACTCACCACAGAACCGGGCTCCCTCCTCTCTGGTTCTGGGTCCATCACCAGAGAACCACTGCTGCCAAGTGACTGCAGCTTGGCAGCTCCTGCATTGAGCGTATGCCCCCTGGTGGTCAGTGCGCGTCATAGCTACTGGCCAGTTGGCCGGTCGCTTCGGCCTTTATCTATATAGATTTAGTTAGGTGTTCTGTATAATGTGTTGTAAAATTTGGGCAAAGGTTTTTTCTTTTATTATTTTAAGAATTCAAATATTAAAAAATATTAGCTAGTTAAAAATAGCATAACTAGATTCCTATGTAAATTCCAAATAAGAGTAGCAGATCTCACCTTTGAAGTGTTACTGAAATTTCCTTTGGGACAGACAGCGAGTAGGAATTTCTTTTTCCTCTTAAAGAAGAAGAAAAGTGTATCAGGTGGAGGACAGAATGTTGACTCAGGGTAGCACATTAAATGGAGAGAAACAGTCTGGTGGATATGTCAGAACAGTGGTTTCCAGACTAGTTCATGACCAGGATTACTCAGAACTGGGTCTCAGACTTGATTGCACATTGAAATAACCTGGGAGACTTTCAATGTATTGATTTTAAAAAAAGACACACTAAAAAAATCTACTGATGCCTTGGTTCTTCCCCCAGAGTTTTGACTTATCGATCTGATGTGCAACATAGATTATGGGATTTTTTAGACCTTCCAATGTTTTGACTCTAACATGTAACGAAGGTTGAGAACCCACCTTGGAAGGATTTTTAGACTGAGATTCCTGAACTGGGTCCCAGAACTAATAAGTCAAATCTTTGGGAATCGACGAAGAATCTAATTTGAAAAGATTCCTTCCCTTAGTGTAGTTATAAGGACTGACCAGTTTGGATACGACTTTGTGAGATTAAAATGGTTTGGTACCTAATGTCACCTACCCATCTACCTTTCCAGGTAGGAAAATAAAGGTTGGTTGGTGCCTCTACATTTCCTTCTTGCAAATCCTGCTATTCTTAGTCCTGTGGAAACAATTCAAAAATCTGTTGATAATCACTATCATCCTAAGAGTGCAAAAAATTATAGATATTGAAATTTCTTTTTTTTCCCTATAGGGAGTTAAATGCTAAATTTTTTAATGTTATAAATCACTTTCTTTATAAGTTGTTTTTAGACAAATAAAATGTTATACTGACATGATTCACTAATTTTCTAAATATAAATATTTTAGCTTTTATTTACTTTTAAACTAATGAACTGTTTTATACTCATTACTGCTTTCAATTAATTTTTATGGTATTTTAGGTTCCTTTTGAATTCCATGTCTTTCCCGTGTTTTGCACCTTTGAGAAGAAATTGACCACCTGGGCTATGGAACTGTGCGTAACAGCTTTTAAAGTGTATCTAAAAATTAAGTGTATATGCACTTAAATTAGTTTACTGGACATATATTATGTGTATTTTAATCAGCTTTCTATATAATAAATTATTTTTTCACTAAAATAGTATTCTTAATTTTAATGTCTTACATAGCTAGGAAAGTATGATTTTATTAAGGTGGTTTTACAATATTAAATTAAATTGTATTTTAATATTATAAATAATGCCCCTTTTTAATTCCTACCTGCATACCAGTGCTCTTACTTGCAAATTTTATTTAATAGTGATCTTATTTCTTGTAATTCTTTTAGGAGTTTTGTTTGTCTGGCTTTGAGTTTTTTATTTGTTTGTTTATTTGTATGTGTGTGTGTGTGTGTGTTTCCAGTTTAGGGAATTTGTTTAGTCTTTGATTTTTGTGCCCCTGTAATCTATTAGAATATTATTCAAAAGGTAAAAATATTTCCCATATAAAATTCCCTTACCTTGGTGAAATTAGTTTCAGCTGTAGGTAAGTAGGAAAACTTTCATATACAGGCGTATCTCACGGATATTACAGTTTGGTTCGAGATAAGCACAATAAGCAAGTCACATTTTTTTGATTGCCCAGTGCCTATAAAAGTTTTGTTTATACTGTAGCCTATTAAATATGCGATAGCATTATGTCTAAAAACCACAATGCACATACCTTAATTTACAAATACTTTATTGTTTAAAAAAAAAATGCTACCATAGTCTGAGCCTACAGGGAGTCATTTTTTTTTTTTTTGGAGGGTCTTACATTGATTATTAATAAACAGTAATATTTTGAAAGTAATCTTTTCTACTGAGCAGTAGGCCTCAACAGTAGGCTTAAAATATTTAGTAAGCCATGTTGTAAAGAGATGTGCTGTTCCATTTTTAGAGCCTGGCAGAGTAGATTTAGCATAGTCCTTAAGTGCCCAGGGACTTTCAGAATGGTGAATGTGCACAGGCTTCACCTGAAAGTCACAGCTGCATTAGCCCCTAACGAGAGAGGCAGCCTGTCCTTTGACGCTTTGAAGCCAGGCATTGACCTCTCCTGTCCAGCTCTGAAAGTCCCAGTGGCATCGGCTTCCAATGTCACTGTTCTCTCACTGAAGCTTGTTGTCGCGTGTGGCCACCTCCTTCATGATCTTGGCTGGCTCCCTGGCTGACTTGCTGCAGCTTCTGCATCAGCACCGCTGCTTCACCTGCCCTTTTGTGTTGTGGAGACGGCCTCTTTCCTTAAACCGCATGACCCAGCCTCCACCAGCTTCAGACTTGCTCCTGCAGCTTCCTCACCTTAGAACTGACGGGAGTTGGGGCCTGGCTCTGGATTAGGCTTTGCCTTAATTAGGTTGTGGCTGGTTTATCCTATCCAGACCATTACAGTTTCCTTCCTATCAGCAATAAGGCAGTTCTGCTTTCTTATCATTTGTGTGTTCGCTGGAGTAACACTTCTAATTTCCTTCAAGAACTTTTCCTTTGCTTTCACAACTCAGCTGTCTGGGGCCGGAGGCCTAGCCTGTGGCCGTCTTGGCTTTGGACATGCCTTCCTCACTAAGCTTACTCATCCTTAGCCTTTGACTTGGAGTGAGAGACCTGTGACTCTCCCTTGCACGTGGACACTTAGAGGCTACTGTAGGGTTACTAATTGGTCTCGTTTCAATACTGTGCTTCAGGGAGGAGGGAGGCATGAGGAGAGGGGAAGGCAGGGAACGGCTGGCCGGTGGAGCAGTCAGAACAAACACAGTAATATCTGACATGGAAACTCTGATTGCCATACGGTGGTTTTCCAATATGCCTCTACAAGGGCTCGGAGGAGTGTGAAGCAGTGAGACACCTTGAGTGTTTGTTCCCTTTAAGAGCAACATGAACAGTCAGCGTCATCCTGGGAAGTCAGTCATCAGACAGGAGGCACAGCATTCAGGTTGCTGTTTTAGGTGAATCAGAAAGTATTTACTGTGCAAATAAGACTCCTTCAAAATCAATATCCAGACATATTAAGGGCCCTGGCCGGCTTAGCTCAGTGGCGTCGACCTGCGGACCAAAGGGTCGCAGGTTCGATTCCAGTCAAGGGCACATGCCTGGGTTGCCGCTCGATCCCCAGTGGGGAGCGTTTCGGAGGCAGCCAATCAGTGATTCTCATCATTGATGTTTCTATCTATCTCTCCTTCCATCCTCTCTGAAATTAATAAATAAATAAAAAATTTTTAAAAAAAGAGATATTAAGGCTTTCAGAGGAAGTAAGGGAACAGAATCAATAGCTGATGCGCACCTAACATTCACCAGGCACTGTGCTGAGTGCTGAGATGTAGTAATTATTTGATGTTTACCACCCCATAAGAAAATACGTCCTTCTGTGAGTAATGGAGTTTGTAAGTAAACTCCAACTGTGAGTTAAGAAGACATTTTGTTTGTTCATTTAATTTCCTTAACTCATGCACATACAACAAAAATAGTGAGCTCAGCAGGATCGTTCAGTAGACATGAGAGCAGACCACTGTGTTAGGCACGTAAGAGGGAGAGCTGATGCTTCTTAGGAGGAACAGAGTTCCACCCCAAGAACTTAAGCAGCTGACGTTTGTGGAAGCGAGCTGTATGGAGGCAGAGCAGTCACAAAGAGCAGGGGGGAGTCTCACCAGCATGGAAAAGTGCCAGGAGGAGCGGCCCTGCACCAAACAAGCTGAGCTCTAACGCCGTGGGGAAGTGAGGAGGTCAGACAAGACTTGAGCACATCTAGGACTAACATATCGAAATGGGGACTGCATCTATTAAAAATGCACATCAGGCCCTAACCAGTTTGGCTCAGTGGATAGAGCATCGGCCTGCGGACTCAAGGGTCCCCGGTTTGATTCCTGTCAGGGGCATGTACCTTGGTTGCAGGCACGTCCCCAGTAGGGAGTGTGCAGGAGGCAGCTGATCGATGTTTCTCATCGATGTTTCTAACTCTATCCCTCTCCCTTCCTCTCTGTAAAAAATCAATAAAACATATTTTTAAAAAATGTACATCAGTTAGAAATGAGAAGAAGGGTGTGTGACAACATAAGAAGGTATATTATTTGAAAAACTATGACAGCACCAGTATACCACTTACTGGTAGTTAATATATCAGGGTCCTTGAAAATCCTAGAATACAGAAGAAAATCTGATCCCCAGATTATTTTATTACTTGAAAGTTTACAGAGCTTAGACAAAAATAGATACAGAGAACAGCATTGTGCACTTATGGAGGCACTGACTGCCTCACTGTGGGAGAAAAAGATGAAAGGAGAATGAAGTTGGAGTGGGCAGCGCTGTATGTATTTTTCTTTAAAAAGGATGTTTGAAGAATATTTTGGCAAAATGTTAACATTTCTTAAACCTGGGTCTTGGGACATGGGAGTCTTTCTTTTTAATTACATCTTTCTGTATGACATATATCACAACTAAAACGAAAATAAAGCAAAAGAGTGGCATACCTCTAAACCAGTTTCTCAGCTATTTTTTAAAATTACTCTCCCTCCCAAAGGAGCATTTTAAGACTTTTTAATCAACCTACACGAAATTTTAAAATCACAACACACTGTATGTCTGCTTGTACACCGTGTGCGTATCTGTCCTGTGATCAAAGGAAGATTTTTTCTTCCTCCCTCACTGGAGAGCAAAACAATGGCTAATCATTTGGAAGACAGGTGCTTCTGTACCATTAAACAGTAACATCATACAAAGTGTTCTTTGACCTCAGCCAAATTAAACCAGATATCAAGTAACAGAAAAACTTCAAATTCCTGGATATTAAATAATGCATCGCTAAATAACATATAGAGCAAAGCAGCATTCTTAAGGGAAATTGGAAAATAATTGAATTTGAATGAATGAAAGTACAACAAAAATTTGTGAGGTACAGCTAAAGAAGTGTTTAAAGGGAATTTGCTTATATTAGAAAAGAATAAAAACGACAGATTGACGATGTACGTTCTACTTTAAGGAACTAGAAAGTGAATAAATTAAACCCAAAGCAAGCAGGAAAAGGAAATAAGAGTAATAAGCACAAACCAATACCTTGTAAACAGGAAATATCATTGTACTGTAAACAAAACTAGTTCTAGCCAGATTGCAAAGAAAAATAAGAAAAGCAGCCCCCCCCCCAAAAAAAATTATAAGAATATAATACTGGAATTTGAACAAATTTGTTTTTATAAATTTGACAACTTTAATGATATGGACCGATTTCTTGAAAGTGAAAAACTATCAAAGCTTACTCAAAAAGTAGGTGGCTTGAACAATCCTTTTTCTATTTTAATAAATTTACTTCCTGAAAAGAAAGCTCATGGTCTAGGTATTTTCACTAGTAAATTCTGCTAAACAGCAAAAGAAAACCAACAATTCTATAGAAGCAAACACTTCCAAATTAATTTTCTCAGTCCTGCATTATCTTGATACTAAAACCGGGCAAAGTACAAGAAAACTACAATATCCCTATTTCTCATGAGTATATCAGTGGTCGGCAAACTGCGGCTCGGCAAACCCCGGCTCGCGAACCACATGCGGCTCTTTGGCCCCTTGAGTGTGGCTCTTCCACAAAATACCGGCTCTTCCACAAAATACTGACTTCTGCGCATGGGCCATTAAGTTTCAATCGCACTGTATGTGCGTGCCCACACGTGGTATTTTGTGGAAGAGCCACACTTTGTTGACATGATGAATTACATCTGACTTTCAGAATTTGAACTATTCTGAACTTCCCAGGATAAACTTCACTTGACCATGATGTATAATTCTATATATTGTTTGAACAACTTATTAACACTTGATTGAGGATTTATGCACCTATACCCGTGGTCCCCAGTCAGGGTACATACAAGAATCAACCAATCTGTATATATAAAAGCCTAAGTGACCAAACGACCGTTGACCGGTTGCTATGACGCACACTGACCACCAAGGGACAGACGCTCAACGCACAGGATCGGGCTCTCTCCTGTCTGGATCGAGCCTGCGGGGATTGAGCTGAAACTAGCTATCTGACATCCCCGAAGGGGGGATGGATTTCAAGAGGGTGCAGGCCAGGCAGAGGGACCCTACCTGTGCATGAGTCCATGCACCGGGCCTCTAGTGAATGTATAAATAAGTGGAACAATAAATTGATGTTTCTTTTCTCTCTTTCCCTCCCCTGTCCCATCCTATCTCTAAACTCAACATTTTTTAAAAATGAAAACTTAAATAAGTGGAGAGAAATAATGTGTACATGTTTCAAAAGACTCATGATTATTGCCCAGCCAGTGTGTTAACCTATATATGAACCAGGTTTAATTCCATGCAGAAGGCAGCCAATCAATGATTCTCTCTCATCATTGATGTTTCTATCTCTCCCTTTGTGGGAAACTGTTTATTGCCTTCACTATCTGATAAGTGTAGACAGAGAGTCCCCCGAAGGCTGGGTGCCTTTGAAGCCCTAGCAAAGGTCAGAGTTAGGCGCCACCTCTGTTTGTCCAGACAGTGGTAGCTGAAACTACTCCCCCATTTATTATTATGTAAATCCTTGCTGATGGGCTAGTCTGTCTGTTGCCAGGGGTCGCCTGCCTAAGGGCTATGCTATGGGTGCATCCCAGATCAATAAAAGCTTGGTGAGGCCTAAGCACGGGAGGAAGTCCTTCCCCTTGAGTTGGACTTGCCCGCCTGGTCCCCCAATATTTCAAATTATCTCGTCTTTTCATTTTCATTTGTGTGCGGCTCTGCTTCCAGTTCCTGAACCCTGACCCACGCGGGACGTGGGAAGGAAACACCCAATATATATATGCCTAAGCGACCGTTATGACCAAACGACCAGAACGACTGGTCAACCAGTCACTATGAAGTGCACTGACCACCAGGGGGCAGACACTCAATGCAGGAGCTGCCCCCTGGTGGTCAGTGTGCTCCCACAGGGGCAGCGCTGGCTGCTCAGCCAGAAGCCAAGCTCATGGCTGGCGAGCTCTTCTATTAAAACACCGATATTAAGAAACTCAGTAAAAACACATGGTCAAACTATATGCTGTCTACAAGACTCTTAGATCCACAGACACAAATAGATTTAAAGTGAAAGGATAGAAAAAAATGTTACATGCAATTAGTAAGCAAAGAAAGCAGGGTGGCTATACAGACAAAATAGATTAAATAAAAAAGGTTGCAACAGAAAATAAAGACAATAGGTATTAATAAAAGTTTCAATAGAGCAAACGGATGTAACAATTTTAAACATTTACACAACTTATAACAGACCATCAAAATGTATGAAGCCAAAATGGACAAAATTGAAGGGAGAAATAGATATTTCTACAATAATAGTTGGAAACATCAGTACCCCACTCGGGAAAAGGGATAAAATGAGAAAATAAGGAAGGAAACGGAGGACTTAGCTTAATAAATCAACTAGATCTAACAGACAGGCACAGAACACCCTGCCCAACAACAACAGCATACTTGACGTTCTTGTCAAGTACATGTGGGACGTTTTCCAGGACAGACTATATATCAAGCTACTAATTAGTATTTTTAATGTATTCAAAGAATTTTCAATGGGATTAAGTTAGAATTCAATAACAAGGGAAGCTGGAAAATTCACATTCCCATTGAAATGAATGCATTCTTGAACAACCAATGCATCAGAGAGGAAATCACGTGGGAAATTAGAAAATATTTAACTGAAAACAAAAAATGTACCAAATGACGGGATGAATTGACAGTTATAATTACCTACAAATAATGAAGATCTCAAGTCAATAACCTAATTTGCAACTTAAGGAACTAGAAAATGAAGAAGTAACGAGACACAACCTTAGAAGAAGAAAGGAAATGATAAAGATCAGAGTAGAGATCAATGAAACAGAGAAAGAAGATAATAGAGACAAATCAATCAAACCAAAAGTTGACTGAAAGAAACAACAAAATTAAACCTTTAGCTAGATGGACAAAGAGAAAAAGACTCAAATTACTAAAATCAGAAATGAAAGTGGGGACATTGCTGCATAGTCTACAGAAATGAAAAAGAATTATAAAGAGTACTATGGCCCTGGCCGGTTTGGCTCAGTGGATAGAGCGTCGGCCTGCGGACTGAAGGGTCCCAGGTTCGATTCTGGTCAGGGGCATGTGCCTTGGTTGCAGGCACCTCCCCAGTAGGGGGCGTGCAGGAGGCGGCTGGTTGATGTTTCTCTCTCATCGATGTTTCTGGCTCTCTATCCCCCTCCCTTCCTCTCAGTGAAAAATCAATAAAATATATTTTAAAAAAATAAAAGAGTACTATGAAGTGTTCTACACCAACAAATTAGATACCTAGATGAAATGGACATATTCTTAGAAATGCATACCCTTGACTTCCTACATCCCAAGAGAAAGCAGATGTCACATAGAATGTCTTCTGAATCAAAGAGCGTAAGGGAACTTAATGGTTGTATCAGAAAAGAATAGGTTAGTAACAAAACCTACAAATCCTCCGTGGCTTATAGTAAACACGTGTATGTCTTACGTTCATCGTAGGTCAACACGGGCACTGACCCTTCATCTTAGCCATTTCACAGTTGGCCACAGAACTCCATTTTGACACAAGATTTAACAAAGAGAACAAAGAGGCCTCAAAGTCCAACATATTCCTCCTGCTTGCATTTCACTGCCAGAGCAAGTCACATGGACACTCCGCACGCAGCTCAACAGGACAGGAGTGTACAATTCCCCTGAGGGAAGGAGCACTGAGTATGAACAAGAAAACATTCTGTGGGTGCATATGGATCAAGTCCTAACAGGGGAGTTAATTTTGTTCAGAGTGAAAATTTGAAGAAACAAAAAATAAGAGGCTAATCCTCATTCTGCGATCTTCTAAACATATTCCTGAAAGGTGAAAGTCGGGCAGGCTAAATAGCCACCTCAGGCTGTGAATAAAGAAAAACTGAATTTATTTAAGGAAAAAGGGATGGGGGATGGGACAATTGAAAGGGAAGGGCTCCATAGCACTGAGCCAAAGGGTACTGGGTCCATGATGGCAGCAAAAACATACTTAGGACAAGGAAGGGCTCAGAAGCAACAGAGCGCCGAGGCGGGGCCGCTGTGGCTCACTGGGCAGTCAGAGAAAAGGGGCCTTGGACACGGGCTCAGGGGCTGAGCCCAGATGAGCTGCCGCTGCCCATTGCTCCTCTGGTTGCAAGTCTCATGGGGTCCCTTAGAGGTTAGGGGATGAGTGCCTGTGGGGGAAGGAGAGGGGGAGGGAGTGGCATTGGCCCTTTGTCCTCAAAGTGTCTCTCTCTCTCTCTCTCTCTCTCTCTCTCTCTCTCTCTCTCTCTCTCGGAAATTGTAGGGGAGGTTCAGAGGAGGGTCTAACAGAATATTCATCAGCTTTCCAGGCGTGCTCTTTCAGGGCATGGTCTCCCCTGATTGGTCGGCACCAGGGCAGGGGATATTAGTTAATGTAGCTGTTCCTGGGGCAGCCACTGCATCGCTTGCCTGGTTTTGCTGCTTTTCTGAGCCTGGAGCTGAAATACAACTGAGGACTAGCCGTTGTCTCTAGGGAGGAAAGGTCAGGGTCTAAACCGCATGACCAGTGATATGAAAAGTCAGGGTGTGCTAACCACGTGGGCAGCCACACTCTAGGGCAGCTGTGGCCAACTGGTGGTCCGCGGACCACTGGTGTCCGTGAGGTCCGAAAGGTTAGTGACCGCTGCTCTAGGGGAGGATAGGTTACCCTGGGGCGGTGGTGGTGGTGGTGGAGGGGGGGTCTTGTGTTCCCAGTGTTGCCCCTTGCTAGGCATCCAGGGCTTTGTGCCCTGGTGAGTTTCTGTACCTGGCCCATCGTCCTTGCTCTGCTCATGTCTGTCTAACAGTTACTACTAGCCAAGCAAATTCCCAGATTCCAAAATACCTTCACATACAATACCCTGTGACACCCAGTGACAGGCTGATAGGACTGGGTTGCAAGCTCACTATGGAGTCACACTGTTTGGTCTCAGTAATTAAAACTGGGTACGAGCATAGCTCTCTCTTGCATTTACACACGTGAGAAATCAAAGTGATAATACACAGAAATGGCACCAGCAGCACTGGATGCGTGTTGCTAGCTGTAGTTATTTTTGAATATTTAACATATACCATGATTCCCATTTGCTAAATGAGGATCGACATGTAATGTACAGACTTCATGGTTTTCCTCCAGGCTCATAGCCGATGGCAAAGCTTGCATTCAAAATTAGATTTCTGGTTTAGAGACTTGGTTTACATTCTAGTCACACTTATGTTACTTAACTCATTTAACACAGTGATATTCTAATCTGTCTTTAAGGGTGTTGTTTGTTTGTTTGAGCAATTCCCACCCCCCCCCCCACCCCCAATGGATTAATATAAACCATTCAGAAAAGAAAGGGTTGTTGAGATTGGTAGAGGCTCCAGAGAAAGAGAAAGGAAGGACAAAACGAAAGCAACCTGGCAGAGTGAGGAGAGGCTGCGGGCTGGAGGGGGTTGAGTTTCTGTACCTAGCCCAGGCGCTCAGGAGACTGGCCTGACCCTATGCCTGATGCCAAGTGGGGCTGAGGCTAGACCGGGAACCACGTGGGTTTGGAGAACTCAGCAGGGTCCTCAGAGCCACGACTGGAAGGAGGATTATGGGCAGTTTATATAAAGTCTAAAATGCAGCATTTTTTCCTTAATTGAAGAGAAAAAGAGAACTGTTTGTTTTCTTAATTTTTACCGTTGATAAGAGACTGAACGGAGGATTTGTGGGATTGCTGGCTTACAGAAGTTGATGTGGTAAGTTATTTTACAGTTTTCTTTTTTTAGTATCATGTGATCCCTTCCCCCCTTTTTCTCTTGAAATAAGTGGCTCCTGGCATATGATTCGATAGAGTTCAAAGTGTCACAATCTATTTTAGGTTTGTTGACATCTGAAGTCTCAGTGTCCACCAGCACAAAACGTACAATTTAGATTTGAAATGCGTCCAAACCTTCCCTCAAAAGGGAGCGCTCCCTGCAGAGAACTGTAGGCAAACTTGACTGTCTGCCTTCTCTTCTCTAACCTTCCCATGTGACTTACTATCCTGATCTCAGGTGCATTTTTCTGGCTTTTATTTCTCCCTTCTTTCGGTAGAGGGAGGGCTCCTAGGCGACAGGGTATTGTTTTAAGAAAATTGTACATGAGATTCCATGGAAAACTTAGAGGGATTGTGACTATTTTTAGAAGAGAAACCATTACCTTGACCAAGTGCTGCAGTAGTATTACTACCTAACGTTCTAGAATATTGAAAACTGGGAAAACAGAAAAAATATAAAAACACCCGGAGAGAAATACAAGTGATGAAATAACAGACATAGATGTGACATTGGAGGTATTTCTACTAAAAGTTTTAATACTTTTATTTTATTTTTTAAAATATATTTTGATTTTTTACAGAGAGGAAGGGAGAAGGATAGAGAGTTAGAAACATTGATGAGAGAGAAACATCAATCAGCTGCCTCCTGCACACTCCCCACTGGGGATGTGCCCGCAACCAAGGTACATGCCCTTGACCGGAATTGAACCTGGGACCCTTGAGTCTGCAGGCTGACGCTCTATCCACTGAGCCAAACTGGTTAGGGCAATTTGTAATACTTTTATTAAGTTACTTGCTATAAAGATATTTATAGAGCATCTACCAGTGGTTCTCAACCTTCTGGCCCTTTAATTACAGTTCCTCATGTTGTGACACAACCATAAAATTATTTTCGTTGCTACTTCATATCTGTAATGTTGCTACTGTTATGAATCGTAATGTAAATATCTGATATGCAGGATGGTCTTAGGCGACCCCTGTGAAAGGGTCGTTCGACCGCCAAAGGGTTGAGAACCGCTGATAGACTAATGACTACAAATGACAAGAGTAGATAACTTTCTGTTCTTGGTTAATGTTAATTCATGTACATGTTAAAATATGTATTTGTACCTGTCTGAGACGTGAGACTGCTGGGGACAGGGGTAAAGAAAAAGCATATATACTCACACATTACCTCTCTAGACATGTGTTAAGCACATGATTTGATGGAGAGATGAAATGTTCTGTTTCCTTAATTCATAGACATTCAATTTCCAAACTGTTTCTTAAATCTTAGGTGCAGAAATTTAAGTAACTGAAAAATTGGGGCTAGGGGTAACAATTTTTAAAATATATATATTTTATTTCAGAGAGGAAGGGAGATGGAGAGAAATAGAAACATCAATGATGAGGGAGAATAATTGATTGGCTGCCTCCTGCAAGCCCCACACTGGGGATCAAGCCTGCAACCCAGGCATGTGCCCTGACCTGGAATCCAACCTTGACCTCTTGATTCATAGGTTGATGCTTAACCACTGTGCCACACTGGCCAGGCCTAAGGCAACATTCTGACTATGAATTTAGTTGGCTCTGTTTGTTCTTTTCCTTCTATCTTTGAAGGGCTTTGGAAATAAAATCGAATGATAAATAATACATGATTGGGGACTGCTTTTTATGTATATAAAGTGCCAGATGTTAAAAAAGGCTGATATTCCCTAATAAAGAAAACATTAAGGTCCCCAGAGGTCAGTTGGATTCATTTCCTGGACAATCTTATGCTTTATTGATAATTCCTTTCAGATTATGAGTCAACATTTTGTGCCCCGAGTATTTGCTCATGTGAACATTTACTTTGTAAACCATGCTTCTTGCAGGAATATAAATAGTGGCTGGAAAGAACGCTGACAACTTCAGAGCAAAATGAAGTTCCTGCTGTTGCTCTCAGCCCTTGGGCTCTGCTGGGCTCAGTACGCCCCCAACACCAAGCCTGGGCGCACCTCCATCGTCCACCTGTTTGAGTGGCGCTGGGCTGACATCGCCCTGGAATGTGAGCGGTACTTGGGTCCCAAAGGATTCGGAGGGGTGCAGGTGGGTCTGGCTCACAGTGTACCTCGTGGGGCTGCTGCGCCTTATAGCATATGGTCTCCTCTGTGTTGGTGAAGCCCAGAAATTGTATTTCATATGCCCTCAAAGGAGTTTTGTGAGGAACATATAAAATTCAGTTTTGCCGAAACCGGTTTGGCTCAGTGGATAGAGCGTCGGCCTGCGGACTGAAGGGTCCCGGGTTCGATTCCGGTCAAGGGCATGTACCTGGGTTGC